TGTATCAAAGTCTTCCCTGCGCTCTTCAGCATCTTTATGTATGAATGAGAATGTACATTGCTTGTCGAGATCCTACTCGTACCGCATTGTCTATTCTGTCCATTTCATCACATTGCAGATTCTCGGTTTATCGTATACATTGCATATATGTGCATGTAACAGTTGGTATCGGAGCTTTTGCAACGTGAATCAGGACGATCTGATCTGACACGTGTGCGGGGGATTACAAAAAAAAAAAAAAGCTAGCTAGTTTTATTGTTTGATTAGAACAAACTAGTTAGACCCCAAGATCACGATTTTTTACCTCACTACCGAAATTCGAAATTTTTCTTTTTCTTGGATTTATTTTCTCGCTATTCTGTAGTGGAAAATCGCAAGATCGCAACATCTGAAATTTCCATTTTCGTGTTGTTTCTGAAAATTCGAAATTTCGTTGTTGAAAATCCGGAATATATTTCTTTTTGAAAGTTTCGATTTCCTGTTGCATTTCCTGTTACTTAGGAATTCGGAATATCTTCTTCTCTGAATTTCGTTTTTCTGAAAACGGTACGGGAAATCTCTCCTGCTGCCCTGCACGTATTATTTTCAAACTGCGAATATTCCCATCGGAATAAATCCGAATACTTGTGATTTCTGTTCGGACTTTTTTCGCAGTTCTTAGATTCTGTCAGTTGGTTCTATAAATCGGTTGCAGTTCAAAGTTGAAAATTTTTTTTTCTGCTTTCGGTGATCATTCGAACTCCAAGGGAGGTTGGGAGACCTACCGAACTTGCAAAAATCGGGATTTTTTATTTTCTCGAAAATTTTTTTGCAAAGTTCAAACTTTTCTACTTTGATTAGTGGCTCCTTATCTAAGTGTGAGTTGGGCGATCATCCCACCCACCCCTCCCCACCTATGTTGTTGCCATCTCTTGCCATATCTGCTCTGTGTGTCTCCGGGTACCCCTTGGGACGGCATTGGTAAGTTGCCACGTCAGCGGACAACGTCAGCAGGCCATGTCAGCAGACTACGTCAGTACGTCAGTAGGCCATGTCAGCAGACCACGTCAGCAGGACACGTCAGTTGTGCCACGTCAGCAGCAAGGGATACCACATCAGCAGGCACCGGTCTGGTCTATGCTGTTGCGTTCACAGACAGCAGTGATGGACCAGAGGGCTGGGGAAACAGACGAGGCCTATCAGGCCCGCATGTTAGCCTGGAGTACCGAGACAAAGAAGCGAGCAGATGACGCTGCAGCGGCAGCGAAGAAGAGGACAGAGGATGCCGAGCAGGCACGTCTGTTGGCAGTTGAGCAACAACGCCAGCATGACGAGGCAGCAGCACGGGCTGCCGATGAAGAAAGGAACCAGCGTCGCGAGAAGATATTTATCGGAGAGCGGGCGTTACTTACAATGGCAGCGGAATGGCGGACCGAGGCCGAGAATAGCCAGTTGGAGGACAGCGCAAACAAGATAGCGCTCCTCCTCTCGCATCTCATGGACCTCCTAGCAACCTGCATTACACAGCAGGCGGAGATCCTTGGTCTCGACAACTCGGTAGCTCATCTCCAAGACCGCCTTCAGCGGTTGGAGCARCGACCAGCCGCCGCCGCCGACGCCGGCTCTTCCAATACTGCCGACCGCCTCACCGCATTGGAGATGCACATCAGCTCCCTCCAGGACGGCACACAGTTACAGCAGACCACGACGCAGCAGTTGCAGCAGCGGATCTGCACTACTGCCACCACCTCGAGTCCGGAGCCGCACGAGTCCACTCCAAAGTTCGACGGGCAGGAGATCTTCTGCGACTCAATGAAGACAGATCCGATTCCATGGTTCCGCAAGTTCGAGCTCACGCTGCAATTGTCCAACGTCAAGGAACACAAGCATCACGCCTACCTGTACTCTCGCTCAGGGGGCGCGTGCCAGGTTTGGTTGGACAACCTCCTGTCCAAATACGGAGTAGTAGCAACCGATTTGCACACCATGATCAGTTGGGATGATCTGAAGGCAGCGTGGCACAAGCGGTTCCAGGTGGAGCCGCCAGAGATCAAAGCCATGGACAAGCTTATGGTCTTCGAGCAAGGCTCGCTGCCGAGTACGGACTGGATCGCCGAGTACCAACGCTTGACGTCAGTCCCAGACATCCAGATAGGCTTCAAGGCCATCCGCCACTACTTCATCTCAAGGTCATGTCCGATATTGAGCAATGCCCTGACGCATGTCGAGGACACCTTGACGACGACGGCGGAATTATTCGACAAGGCTGCGCAGATCATCGTTACAAACAAGGAGGCCAAGAACCTCCGTTCATCTGCGTCAGGCCCGAGCGGGAACCAGCATCGGCCACGAGTGGCCGTGGTCGCAGCGGCAGCGCCGTTAGACCAATCCAGCGAGGCTGTGTCTGCCAGTGAAGGGGACAGATTCGCAGCCGCCCGGGAAGGTGGCCGCGCCGGCAGAGGCCGAGGTCGCGGCAAGCCGAAGACACACACCGTTTCTAGCCCCGGGCCCGGTGCAGCAGCTCAGACAGGCCCATGGACCCCGTACGGCATCTCCGAGTCCGCCTACAAGGCGCGCGAGAGATTCCATTATTGCCTGTGGTGCAACAACGATCTTCATCAGACGCCGGTTTGCCCACTGAAGGGCAAGGGTCGACAGGGAAACTGAGCACCGCCGAGAGTGATGCGATGACACTCTCGACGCCTTTGGAACTGGTTTCTTCGCGAGTGACCAGCCTTCATTCCGAGGCGCACGCAGAAGTCGACAATCCTCCGCTCCTACTTCCTTTCGAGGACTATGCTGCCCAGCTCGTTCCAACGTTGGGTTCTCAAGCTCAAGGACAAGGAGTGTGTGCGGTTTCGTCTCCGTCGGACAACAGCGAGATATCGTCTTCAAGTGGTGATTCACGGGATTCAGCGCGCGAGTTCAATATAGAGGCATTGGACCCGCTCACGTCTGAGGACTTTGCATGACTTCCTCTCCCGACCACAGGCTGTTTGTCGGGACCGCAATGCGCAGCACTTAGCGCTCATCTTCACACTTACCTTTCCTTCTATGCACCACCAACTTCGTCGATGGATGACGAGGTCACGGTGGGGGACATCCTGGCATATACTACCAAGGTGGCCCGCGAGTTTCGCACGGAGCGGTACGATAACAACAACGCACCGCTCATGTATGTCCGCATCCAGGTTGGACAGGCGTCCTGCAGCGCTCTATTGGATAGCGGCGTGACTCGCAACTTCATGAGCCTGTCTTTTATGCAAAGGGCTGGCCTTGGCGCTCAGGTTCGGAGGAAGGCAAACTCAACGGCGATCAAGTTGGCGGATGGTAAGACGCAGCAACTTCTCGACCGTTACATCGAGGCCGTACCGGTCTACTTCGCACCTCATGCATGCGAACCGGTAACATTCGATATTCTCGACACGGACTTCGACATCATTCTGGGAATGCCTTGGTTTGCAAGTGCGGATCACACAGTCAACTTCCATCGGCGGACTCTTAGCGTTCGCGACGCCTTCGGCGCGGAAGTGGCGTGTACTATTCCTCTACCGCACCCTTCGATCCGGTGCCAAGTGGTGACGGCCAAATCATTCCGGGCAACTTGCGCTTACGAGCAGCCCGAGGAGATCGGCCTACGTTTCCTTGGGACCGTCGCGGTAGCCGACTCTTCACCCACGGACTTATCTTCGGACCCCCGTGTGGTGCGGTTGCTGGACGAGTTCGCCGACATCTTCGAGTCACCTACCGGTGTGCTGTCGGGTCGGCCGATCTCTCACGAGATCATTCTTGAGGCCGGTGCTGTGCCGCCGAAAGGTTGCATCTATCGGATGAGCGAGGAGGAGCTTGAGGTACTCCGCGCACAACTCGACGATTTGTTGGCCAAGGGCTGGATCCGCCCGAGTAGCTCCCCATACGGAGCACCAGTTCTCTTCGTCAGGAAGAAGAACAAGGATCTGAGATTGTGCATCGACTACCGCAAGCTCAACGCGCAGACTGTCAAGAATGCGGGGCCTCTTCCTCGCATCGACGATCTTCTTGAGCGACTGGGCGGTGCCAAGTACTTCTCCAAGTTGGATTTAAAATAAGGTTATCATCAAATCTCGATTCAGCCGACCGATCGCTTCAAAACCGCATTCAAGACACGGTATGGGCATTTTGAGTGGGTGGTCATGCCTTTTGGCCTCACCAACGCCCCGGCGACCTTTCAGGCGGCTATGACCAATGAGTTCCGTGCGATGTTGGACCAGTTCGTGCTGGTCTACTTAGACGATATTCTCGTCTACAGCCGGTCATTGGAGGATCATCCGGGGCATCTTCGACGAGTGTTGGAGACGCTCCGCCGTGCCAAGTACAAGGCCAACCGCGACAAGTGTGAGTTTGTCCGGCAGGAGCTGGAATACTTGGGCCATTTTGTCACACCGGAGGGCATCAGTCCGCTATCGGACAAGATTCAGGCCGTCCAAGAGTGGCTGGAACCTCGGAACGTCACAGATGTCCGCTCGTTCCTCGGTCTTACCGGCTACTATCAGCGCTTCATCAAAGGCTACTCCAAGATCGCGGCCCACTTGAACAAGCTTCAGTGTGAGGATCGGTCGTTTGACTTCGGAGAGGAGGCACAAGGATCATTCTTCGCTCTCAAAGCCGCGCTATTGTCTGCGGAGGTCTTGCGAATCTACGACCCGCTCGCGCCTACGCGTGTCACTACGGATGCGTCAGGCTATGGCATTGGTGCAGTCCTCGAGCAACATGATGGTGTGGACTGGCACCCGGTCGAGTACTTCAGCAAGAAAGTGCCCCTCGTGCATTCCATTGACGATGCACGCAAGGAGTTCCTCGCCTTCGTCCACGCGCTCAAGCGGTGGTGGCACTTCCTSCTTGGTCGAAGCCAATTTCGMTGGGTRACGKACAACAATCCGTTRGTCTTCTACAAGACCCAAGACACCGTCAACAGCACCATCGCTCGATGGATGGCTTTCATCGACCAGTTCGACTTCTTTCCCGATCACATTCCCGGGAAGTCGAACCGTTTTGCGGATGCTCTTTCACGGCGTCCGGATCACTGTACCGCGGTCTACTCAACCTTCGAGATCGACGAAGACCTGCGGAACAGCTTCATCCGCGGCTACCAAGCCGACCCCGATTTTCGCGACAAGTACGCAAATTGCTCCTCTCCTCATCCAGCTCCTTCTCACTACCGGATCCAAGAGGGGTACTTGCTTGTCCACACGCGGGGGAAGGACCTTCTTTGCGCACTGAGTGATCCTCACTTGCGTACCCGGCTTCTTGGCGAGTTTCACGATGCTCCCGCTACCGGACATTTTGGAGTCAATCGCACGATTGGCCGACTTCGCCAGCGATTTTGGTGGCCCGGACTTCTCGGCGACGTCACGCGCTACTGTGAGTCATGCGAGGTTTGCCGACGTTGCAAATCCCGCAATCATCGTCCGTACGGCGAGTTACGACCATTGCCAGTCCCGTTGCGGCGAAGGGAAGCGATTGGCATGGACATCACCGGCCCGTTCCCCAAGCACAAGACAGGAGTGGATGGGATTCTCACAATGGTCGGCCGACTCACCAAGTTTGCCATGTTTTTGCCTTGCCGTTATCATGCCAAGGCACCGGAGTTGGCCGAGGTTTTGTACGCTGGTTGGATTCGCACCAAGGGTTACCCCAAGGAGATCATCTGCGACCGCGACACTCGGTTCGTGTCCGATTTTTGGTTGGCGCTCATCAAGCGATGGGGCTCATCTCTCAAGCCTAGTTCAGCTCGCCACCCTCAGACCGATGGTCAGACAGAGAGGGCGCATCAGACCGCACAGGTTCTTCTTCGCACTCTCATCCGCCCCGACCAGAAAGACTGGGTTGAGCGACTGCCGGACGTTGAGTTGGCCTACAACTCTTCCATCCACCCGGCTATTGGGATATCGCCCTTCGAGTTTGAGCACGGCTCGCCGGTCACATCACCGTTGGACACTATCACTCCACGCACGRCCGAGAGCGACGACCATCTTCTCTTCTTGCGTCGGATGCAAGAGCTTCTTGTCAAGGCACGCGACCAGATGGCTAAGACGCAGCAGCGCATGAGCCAGCAGGCAAATCACCAGCGTCTTCCTTGTCCATTCCGCGCCGGAGACCTTGTCTGGGTTTCAGCAGCGGAATTCGGCCTTGAACAGGACATCTCTCGCAAGCTCCTTCCGAAATGGATGGGGCCTTGGACGATCATTGAGCCCGCTGGGGATGCACCGGAAGGGCCTTCCTTCACGATTCAGGTGCCTAGCCACTTGCCTGTCTACCCAATCTTTCATTGTTCCAAATTGGCTCTGTACACGCCTGCGGCACATGACTATTTTCCCGGGAGACGTACGCAAGATCCACCTTCTATGGATGGTTTTCAGGAGGTCGGCGACATCATCTCCCAGCGACGCTACGGCAACAAGCCAACTGAGTATCTGGTGCATTTTGCTTACTGCACTCATCGAGCTGATCGTTGGTTGACCCGTGCGGAACTGCAAGCGACAGCTCCAGACGTCCTCGCACGCTACGAACGCAAGATGCAATGCAAGCTGGTTTCTTCGGCTCCACGCCACGCCCGCGTCCAGGTTCCACCTTCAGATCGACGGCTTCGCCCTCGCCCCGGCTTGACTTCATAAGGAGAAGGGGGGGTTACATGCAGCGCGTGCACACACGGGCCATTTTGCAGGCCCGACGACCATTTTGCACGCCCGACTGGATTCAGGCCAAAACCCTGGATTTCAGGCCGAAAGCCTGAAATTCAGGGCTTACATGCCCCATTTCGGTTCAGACGGAAAGCCTGACTTTCAGGGCCTACAGCCCCTGCGACGGTTCAGACTAAAAATGGTAATAGCATTTTTAGCCTGAACCCAAGGGCCATTTTCGGTC